TTGCTGCTATCGACTCTGCTGTCCACTTCATCTCATTTAATTTTGGGTGCTCGTGGCTCAGCAGCAGCAGGAGACGCATCTGCAACAGCAGCAGCAGCAGCTGCTGCTGCTGCTCCTCTGAATGCAGCAGCAGAAAAAGCTGCGCTGCTGCAGTCGCTGCACCGAGCCTTTGCTGCTTGCTGCTCCCCGCTGCACCCCCTGGCGTTGGGGTGTCTAGACACTGCAGCACGTCTGGCTCTGGGTCCTTTCTTTGCTCAGCCGCAGCAGCAGCAGCAGCAGCAGCAGCAGCAGCAGCAGCAGCAGCAGCAGCAGCAGCAGCAGCAGCAGCAGCAGCGGTGTCGTTGCTGTAAGAGACGTGCTGCTGCTGCTGCTGCTGTTGCTAGACTTGCTGCTGTACCTGGGGCCAGCTGGAACGCATGCAGAGGCAGCAGCTACGCAGCACAGCAGCAGCAGCACCAACGAGACCTGCTGCAGCTAGAGGAGCTGCAGCTGCTGCGGCTCGAAATAAATAGAAGGAGAAACAGAAACAGCAGCAGCAGCAGCAGCAGCAGCAGCAGCAGCAGCAGCAGCAGTGAATTAGAAGCGCTTGAACAGGAAGCAGAAGCTGCTGCTCGTGCTGCTGCTGCAGCACGAGAGCATGCAGAGGCGGAGCAGCAGGTGCGCAGCAAGCGGCGTCTCAGCAGCAGCAGCAGCAGCAGCAACAGATACAGCGACATAGATCCAGCAGCAGCAGCAGCAGCAGCAGCAGCAGAAGATATATCTATAGACAACGAAGAAACTCGTGCTGCTGCTGAGCAGGATTTATACTGTATCCCTTTTGCTGCAGCAGCAGACCCACCAACAGAAGAGCAGCAGCAGCAGCAGCTGCAGCAGCTACACAACTGGGAAGAAACTCTATGGGGTGCGTTTGCTGCTGCAGCACCACCGCAGCAGCAGCAGCTCAAGAAGCAGCAGCTGCGGCGCCTACCTACTTTATATAAAAGTCTAAGAGACATGGGGGTGTATGAAACAGAGAATGAAAGCTGCTGCTGCAGCAGCAGCAGCAGCAGCAGCAGCAGCAGCAGCAGCNTTGTTTACTGTGGAGGAGCTGCAGCTGCTGCTGGGGGCCCTCTCCCCCCTCGCGATGCACCGCAGCTCTGAGGTTGTGCTGCTGCTGCAGTGGCTTGCTGTTGTCTTTGCTGCTGCTCCCCCTTCTAGAGCAGCAGACTTCATCAAGCATACTCACATTCCTGCTGCTGCTGCAGCAGGTGCTGCTGCTGCTGCTGCTCCTGCTGGAGCAGCAGCAGCACCAGCTGCTGCTGCTGCTCCTCTTCCTGCTGCGCCGCTGCACCACCACGTCAAGAATGAACAGTCCGCGGATGCAGCAGCACATCCTGCTGCTGCTGCTGCTGCAGCAGCAGCAGCAGCAAATTCTGCTGCTGCTGGTGGATCAGCAGCAGGAGGAAGCTGTGGTGGTGCTGCTGCAGTAGATGAGTCGCAGCTGCTGCCAGTCCCGCTGCTGCATGCGCTGCTGCAGGCTACTCAGTCTTCTGTTGCTGCTGTTCGTCGTGCTGCTCTCGTGCTGCTGGATATGCAGCTGCTGCAGCAGCACCGGGTATATCTGCAGCAGCAGCAGCTGCCACCGAAGCCTCTAGGCTGCGTTGAGCGGCTGCAGCTGCTGCTGCTGATGCCGCACTGGGGGGTTATATCTTCTCGCAACCTGCTGCACACCATTGT